ATATAGCATAGAATAGAATGCTTGTTCTGAAACTGAGAATAAATACCATACAGTCTAACCTCTGAATTGGTAATAAGCCATGGCATGGTCTTGCCTCCTTCATGTACTCATCCACCAGGGATCTGTTCTACATTTCTAGTCAGTTATCGCTTGTCTTTCTTATGCAGGCAGAAACCTGAGTACTTTTTTTCCTGCAAGTAAAGTAAGAAATGTTTACTAGAAAAATAATGAGTAAAGGTACAATTATTCCATCTGGGCTTTGCAGACTTGAAGCAGCATGGAGTAGGTTTGTGAGACATTGACTGCAAATAGATTCAGAATTACAGTTATTTGTTCATAGATGGTTATCTGGACTGCTTTGCCTTTCTAGTACAGGTGGAAGAGCAATGTATGCAATGCTTGAATTCAGGAGACGCAAACTAAACAAATAAAACCAGGGTCAAATGGGAATACAAAGCAGAGAAGAAAATTAGTAAGAAAATTGATATTGGTAGATAAGTTGAAATGAAACCAAGTAAATCAATGTAGGCTCTATCTGCAAACCACATGAAAATGATTCTCTTAATGTAATATATTATTATTGTAAAACAGCTTAATGTAAATGTATTTTGAGAAATGAGTGGGTCAGGGAAAGACTAATCATTGAATTCTAAAGACCGTTTCACTCTTCCTCTGCTTTTCTTCTTCCAGAGGCTCAGGCAACTGTGCTTAAACAACTCAATCTTTGTGTCCTGAAATTTGGACATCTACTCATATGCCCGTGCCTCCTTACATTCACATTATCTAGAAAAGTGAGGAAAAAACTTACTTCCCATCTTTTCCTTGCCTGCTTAAAGATGTAAGGCTGGTATTTGTCCTAAATGTGAAAAAACAGTTTAACTACCCTGCCCTATCACATACAATGCATTTAGTTTAGTAAGGATCCAAATATTATTTATGTTCTTTCTGCAAATGGGTATTTAATTGCCATGGTGTATTGATAAGAAAGACTAATACATCAAGGTATAATTAAAGTTTTAGCATTTGTCTTTTAAGTAAATGGATCTAAATTCATACTTATCTTTTTAATTTGATGGAACTTTAGTTAAGCAGTGAGACAGAATCCATTCTTTTGAGCAAGCTGTGTCTGTAAAAATCATGAAATTCAAAGCATATAACTAATGCCTATAAGCTTTTATTGATTATATTGACTGTATCAGCAATATTAACATATATCAGAAATACAAAACTGTTATTACTCATTTAAGGCAGATAAAGGAGAATCATGAACAGTATAGCTGAATTTATTTTGTTAAATAAAAGCAAATTTAAAAAGTTGAAACCAAGATAAAGACAAAAAAGCCTCTGTATGCAACAGGACTGAAAAAAAAAAGAAATTATGAGAATAGTGAGATAATAGGAAATCGGAAGAGAGGAAGAAAGATGTTTATAATTACAAATATATCTAATGATGTCTGGAAATGTATGTGTTTCGCTAAATACAAATTCCAATGGGAAAACTTACTAGATAAAAGGTTGGAAAGCTTATTTTTTTTTAAAGATTTATTTTTATTATTTTTTATTGGAAAGGCAGATATACAGAGAGGAGAGACAGAGAGGAAGATCTTCTGTCCAATGATTCACTCCCCAAGTGAGCACAATGGCCGATACTATGCCAATCCGAAGCCAGGAGCCTCTTCAGGGTCTCCCACGCGGGTGCAGGGTCCCAAAGCTTTGGGCCGTCCTGGACTGCTTTCCCAGGCCACAGGCAGGGAGCTGGATGGGAAGCGGGGCAGCCGGGATAGAACTGGCGCCCATATGGGATCCCAGGCGTGCAAGGCGAGGACCTTAAACACTGCGCCACCACGCTAGGCTCCGGTAAGCTTATTTTTATAACAAAATTTTCTAATCATCTTAATCAGAGTATAGTTTCTTGTGCATGAAGACTTTCTGGTATTTTAAAGAGCTTTACATAAGTATTTCTATTTTCTCCAGATTCTAAAATTTCACAAAAGCCTGGATTTTGCCACTTTTAAAATACTCAACACGTTGTAAATTAATGCACCATTTTCTTGTTAAAATCAGCCTTGCATAAAATGATCTGTAGCTGAACAGGAGCAATAGCAAAGGTGTGAACTACTTCAGGAAGTGCTAACTTCAGAGCCCAAATGAGAACATTGAAATGCTAAAATTTTCAGCAACAGCAAGCAGATGTTTCTGCAAAATACCGTTTTTCTCCTATTTTCTAAACTACTTTTTCTAGGTATGTTTACTTCTTTTAAAACTTGGATTTTCCTGCCACTTTACCAATTTTCAGTGCCCATTCATCCTTGAAATGCTTCATTTTTACTTCTCAATCTCTCCTCCTCTGCAACAATTGTAATGGAAGATGGGTATATGACTCTGCTCTAGAAAGAATGAATTCAATATTAGTGTCATGTACCAGGCTGATGGCTCTGCAAAATGAGAACCATTGTTTTAATCACAGTACCCCAGCTGTGAAGATGCATTCTTTATAGTTCCCTGAACACCTGCCTGAATTCTGTCCTTTAAAAAAGGACGATGCTTAACCCATTGGCTTAAAATACAGTGTTTTTATAAATAACTGCATGACAGAAGTAGCTTGTTGCAAAGGTATTCTACATTGATAATGCTCATGAAATCATCACCAGAGACTATGGGACTTGAATGGCTTGCTAATGCAGACACCTGTGTATGAATTGAAAGTTCCAATTAAATTTATTATTATATAGAAATTATTTCTCACAGAACAGAAATGCATACTTAAAATGGAGTTTGTATGTTTCAAATGTCTTCATTCATAATCTGTATTACACAGGACACATAGAGATTTCATGCTGACTTTTACAATAAGTAATGAAATAAAATTCACTGTCTATATATGTTTAACAAGACTGAACAACATACTAACTCTAAAACAGGCTTTTTAATTTTTGAAACAGCATGCCATCTCCACAAATATGAACTAATGGTGGTTTCATGGAATGACAAGAACAAAAGTAGATCTAAAACACAGGACACTAGATTTAAGTAAGACACATGTTCACAGTGAGCTAAGTATATGACCTTAACAAATTTCTAAATTTGGGCATTACATTGGTCAGCTGTAAAAGGGTAAGATAGATCACACAATCACAGAAGATGAACCTTTTTCTAATGCTCTCTTCTAAAATAGCCATAGGCTTTTGATTCTAAAGCAAAAACTCTATGGACAATCAAAGAGATGTACAGAGTGTGTCTCAGTGTAGCTTCAAAAGAACACATGTTCTGTTGAGAAGTTTCAGCCAGATAGATTTCATATGTTGTTATTTGATGCTGCCTTGAATTGGAGCTCATTCAGAAGCATCACCAACTCAGGCAACAGCATGTATCCTTACTCTGTGGCTGTGTATCTCTTACTCATCCTGATTCTCCTTCAAAAATAACGGCTCTGCACGGTGGCCTAGCAGCTATGGAATCCCATCTAGGTGCTGGTTCATATCCTGGCCTCTCTGCTTCCCATTCAGCTCCCTGCCTGTTCCCTGGGAAAGCAGTTGAGGACAGTCCAAAACTTTGGAACCCTGCACCTACATGGGAGACCTAGAAGGGACTCAGGATTCCTGAATCCAGATTGGCTCAGCTACAGCCCTTGTGGCCATTTGGGGAGTGAATCATTGGACTAAAGTTCTTTCTTTCTGTCTCTCCTCCTCTCCATACATCTGATTTTCTAATAAAAATACATCTTAAAACAACAACAACAACAACAACAACAACAACAACAACAAAAACCCTAGGATACAATATATTTCGCATCAGCTGTTATTTTGTGTTATCATTCGGATTGGTTTAAAGACATAACTTGTAAAATAGGATACACATATACATTCAGTGCTAGAGTATTACCTCTGATGAAGGAAAGACTCAGAGAAGGAAAGAACCATTTCCAGCTTTGTAGTTTTGACTACATTATACATATCAAGGGTTAACAATGAATAGAAGCTAACTCAAATTCTAAGTAAAAATATTGAAAATGACATTCAGGAAGATGCAGTTTGAAGGTGACACAGACTAAACGTTGATATCTTAAATCTGAGGATATAATTGGTGCCAGTGGGTAGATATTACAAAAGAGTGAATTAACATTTTATAGCACCATAAGTTTATTTAACAGTTTTTCAAAGATAAAATTATATGTTTATGGGTAAATTTAATTTTATTCTTTAGAAACAATCATTGGCAGAAATGTTTGTACAAGGAGTGAGCACTCCCTATTGAGGTTAAGTGTGATGTATGGGATGGGAAACAGCAAAAATTGGCTCAAGCAGTCATGATCTTTGTCACTACGGCTGAAACCCGGAGATCCTGGCTCCAACCTCCGATCTGATCCAGTCCTGGCTGTGGTGGGCATGTGAGGAGTGAAACATGAAGTAAGAGAACCAGCAGGAATGTGTGTGTGTGTGTGTGTATGTGTGTGTGTGTGTGTGTGTCTTTCCAAAAAGAAACATTATTTTTTAAAATAATTTTTGCATACACATTTGCTGCATGAAAGGAATCATTAGATCAACATTTGAGTAAAAAATGAATGTAATGTAACTCAAAGTATTAATAACCCCATTTGGGTGTGATATTATACTTACGATTTTACATTGAAATGCTTTTAATTCATGCCATTTTTCTAAATGCCAGATTGCCTAAAGCAGAAAGTTAGTTTTGCCTCTTTTGACAAAGGTAAATTTTGTGCACTTTGTGTCAAGAAAGCAATGGCAATATCATGAAGAATATATTATTTCCTTATGCAGAACATTTGAATTACAATAATTAATTCCTACAGCAAGCATATAAGAGGAATAGCATCACTGTCATCTTGTAGATAAGAAAACCAGAACTGAAATAATTTGACTGCAACTGTAGAAAATCTCTATGATTCAGTCTTCTGTGGTGCACAATCTTCATCTTAAAATCTTCACCATTTCTCTGTGTAACATCAAACATATATTTCGATTTTTCAGCCAATTTTCGAGCAAAGGATTTTAAAAATAGAATAAACAAGTGATCTAAATGATTCAGTTACTTTCTTATAACATAACACTGTGGTGGATAAATTATATCTGAATTTTTTTCAGGCTTTATGTTGGTGAAGATAAACCGAAAAATAATTTTAACTCAGTGAAGAACTTTACACACTTTTATTACATAAGAAGGTCACATAATCACTTTTTATAGAAGTCTGTGAACAGTGGAATTGATTTTTATCAGTCCAGTATTGCTCAGAGGAAACAGTCATTGCTTAACACTGAAGAATGAGCTAAATTGCATTAAGATGCCTTCATCTCTCTGAATATAGAAGCCAAATTTTAACTACTTTCTCTGGAAAAGATACACATGACGAACAGTAAAATAAAAGACACAGGATCGTTTTAGAGATTTAACAATTTTCCTAAAGCCAACCGCTCTGCCAATTTGCCAAGAAACAAGAAGAATTTGATGAGACTTTAAATCCTAGAATCAAGGCTATGAGAAAAGTCTAGCATTGCCCTACATATCTCAAGATGGATTGGAATACTTTGGATTGGAATTGTTTCTCTGAAGCAGACAACAGCTTATTGGGAAATAATCTAAATTAAGAGGTGCTGCCATAGGCATATTTGCATTTTCCAGTTCATTGTCAGTGTCGGAACTTTAAGATCAATTCTTGATGGGTCTAGGAGATACACAGCTTCATATTTTCTATTGTTGAGAAATAGTAGACATTGTCAAATGGAAGTAGAAAGGTTATTGTCTAATAAAATGGAGCTCTAATAAATCAGAGATGAACAGTTTAGATACCATTAGCATTCATCTTTTTAAAAAAATTTACTGATATTCAAATTATACAAATATTATTTTGAACTTACATTCAATAAAATCTTGAGAACATATTATATAAACACAAGCTGTGTTTTCCAAAAGAAAACCAATGTACCGGCCCTGCATCATGGCCTAGTGGCTACAGTCCTTGTTTTGAACACGCTGGAATCCCATATAGGCATCAGTTCTTATCCTGGCAGCCCTCCTTCCATTCCAGCTCCCTGCTTTAAAATAGGGGTTTGTGTGTTGTATTTTTTATTAATTCTTTTAGAAAATCAGAAACCAAACCAATGGGCTGCAGAAATTATGCAAGAAAAATATCGAACCTCTTTGCCTTTATCGAAAGCTAATATTTAATCATTTATGTATCACTTAAAGTTTTTAGAAATTAACAAGGCAATTATACTACTAACATACTGGATGACTCTCATTGTACTCCATTCACAAATGAATAAGACCTGAATATTTTCTCTTTGTTTTTTTTTGTTTTTGTTGTTGTTGGTTTTATTTTCAGAAACGAATGTATTAAAGGATGAACATTTTTAAGTGTCTGGCACACAATTCAATATGATCCTAGTGATTTTCTTATGATGATTATCTAATAATAATTCACATTTTATAAATATGGAAACGAAGATTGTGGATAGTAATAACATTTACATCGATCAATTCATTTTTACTTGAAATGCAGTGGGAGAAAGGCAAAGACAGGGAGAAACATCTTGTACTCATGGGTCCACTTACCACAGGGTTGAAAGTGTGGGAATTGTATGGCGACATTCTGGAGCCAGGAACTAAAAACTGACCTCCCACATGTGTGGCAGGGACACAAGTGCCTGAATAATCAGTGCTTGTCTTCCAAGGAGCTGGAGCAGAACTGGTACTGTAACTCAAGTACTCTGAAATGGGACCTGTCCCTGGGACATCCCAGTGACCTGGTGTTGTATCAATCGAAAATAACAAGCAAATTCAGAAAATGGAAGCTCTAATAACTCTCTTGCTATTTGGAACAATTCACTAGATGGCAAATCGTCGATAATATATTTTTGGTATTTTTTTTCACAGAGCTAAGGTCAGATGCAGACAGCAATCAAATTTGCATACACATTAATAGATATAAAATGTTATGTATCTTATGTTGTAAATTATATACCTCGGAGATAATAAATAATATTTAACATTATTAATTAATCTAACATTAATTAATTCATATTAATTTAACATTTCAAAATGTATCATACTGGTCCAAGTGGGATAAGATATCACATTGGGTAGCATTGAGAGGCAGTTGGGTAATACACTATGTGGAACTCTCTGTCCATCACAGTGTCTGGTCAATTGGTCCTTGGCTTCCTGTCCAGTTTCCAGGTAATGTGCCTGGGAGCCACATGATGACAGCTCAAAGACCGGAGCTGCTACCACCTACATGGGAAAATAATTCCTGGGTTCAGCCTAGCATTGCCTTAATTGTTAACAATGAGAGAGCGAACTGGTATATGGGATATATCTCTGGATTTCTTTTTTATCCTTCCCTCTATCTGACAATGTGAATATCAAATAAGTGAACCAGTAAAAGATATAACAGCTACAAATAGTGAGAAAACACGATTTTAAAAAGGCATCTTTGAGACAATAGCACTTAACTGTAAGAATAAATATATTATCATGCGTTTTTTATAATATCAAGAGAGTCAATGTAGGAGTGGCTAGAGCTTTCAGATCTAATGTTGAGAGAAAGAAGAAAGCAGAAAAAAATTATCAATGAGCAATGTAACTGTGGATACTATAATGATAGTCATGACTTTAATAAAATGTTAAATTATGGCACATCAGCATTGTTCAGTAAAGCAAGAAAATAAAAAAAAAAATTAAAAAGCCTTACAAGGAATTACATAGAAATAATTATTAAAATGTTATGTAATTTATACATGGGTGTCTCAACATTGAAAAGATACATTTAAAGAAAGAAGGAGAGACAAAAAGAAAGATGTTCTGTCTGCTGTGATGTTGCAGGGAGAGATGCCACCTGAGCATCAGCATTCTAAATCAGTAACCGTGTCAGTGCTGCCAGTTTCCCTTCTGAACCAACACCATATTAATGTGCCTGGGGAAGTAGGGGAAGATAGCCTAATTGCTTGGGCCCCTGAAGCCACGTGGATGTTCCAGAAGAAGCTCCTGGCTGCTGGCTTCAACTCTGGCGTGTGCATTTCTAGAATTCTCTCTTTCAAATAAATAAATACATGTTTTAAAGAAACAAAAACGACACATTGTAAGAGAAAGAAAGGAAGGAAGGAAAGAACAAAGTGTCAAAGTCCAAAAAAGCTTCATAAGCAAATTGAATCAATTTCCTTAGCTCTCTAACTATTACATGAAGAAGCAATATCCAATATTATTGCTTTTCTCTGCATCTCAATGAAATAAGAATAAAAGTAATGAAGACAGGACAAAATATGGTTTCACATTTATCCAACATAATTATGAAAGACCCAAAGTAGACCTCTAGAACTACATAAGGAGGGGATCTCCTCCCATGAAGTTCATGTGCTCTCCACATAAAACCGGTTAGAAGGAGGAATCGCTCAGTTAATAGTTTCTATAGAAGAAGCTTAATCAGTTTCCTAGGGAGAATAGTTGCTTAGGAAACTCAAAATATTATGGCACAGAGGTTGTGACGAGTCACCTGCTGGTACACACAATTTCATGCTGCCAGTTTTATCCACTTTTCTCTCTCCTAATTGTGCTCTCACATGGCAGAATTGCAAAGTTAGAAAACCAATGAGGTTCTTGGCACAGAGATGAGAAAATAAAATTGTGTGTGGGTTTGCCATAAAGACCACCTTTGGTGGATAAGTTGTTTTTCAGAGCTGATTGGACTGTATTTCCTACACTGCGAACACCTTCCATTGGCCGTTAAAATAATCTCGGAGGATTTAGTATAATCATATTCTCTGGAAACCTGGCACATTAAGAAATGGTAATTGAATTTCATGAGAACAATTTTCAAAAATCTACCTATTTTAAAAAAATATCAAAGGCGTTAATATACAAGGCATAGTACAAACCCTAGGCTAGTTTCCTGGAAAATAAAAATGGTATGAACCCTTTAAATGTATAATAGTTCATCAAATATTATGTAATTGTTTTGAGATTTTTCAAACTGAAGAATCATTTTCATGCTAATCAACTTTCACTTTATCTAAAATAAAATTTTTGAACATTAAATTTATTCTTGCTTATACACTTACTTTTGCATTTAAATGAGAATTGCATTGTTGTTTGAAAGTTGACAACTCATTTTTAGTTGATATCCTTTTAAAGCATGAAATAATGATGGCAGTGTTGGCCTGTGTGCTGTAAATATGACTTAGGGGTCTCAGCACACCAGGCTGCCACATTTAGCAGCTGTTCAGTAGACACGTTGAGCTCAGCAATAGAGCCCAAGCCAGTGGACTGGGGACCCCTGAATGACACAACATCACAAAAAAGAGAGAAAGTAAGTTTTGCAATTAACCATCAACTACCCCTCAGGTCTGAAGCTCAGCATTAGCTCTGCTATCTGCACTTTTTTTGGGGGAAGCTTTTTAGAGACAGCCAATCATAAACTCCTACTCTAACAGATTATTACAATATAGTTGCTCAAATTGTAGCCATCAGCAATCTCCTATTTTCAGAGAAGTGAGAGACAAAGAGAGGCAGCCTAGAAACATCATTCACATTTCTAGTGCTCAAGGACACTTTAAATAATAGTGTGCGATGCTGGACTTTGCGTGCTTTGATAGAAGAACTCTAAAATCCTATTGTCTCCTCTCCACCCTAACCCCACACTCATTTGTCTATGGTCCCAAACACGCTTTTGATTTGCATCAAACATTACTATATCTTTTTTACTGAACTATGAAAAAAAGAACCTATAGTGGTCTGGACACACTTGGAGCTCTCTGTTTGCACACTGCATTGGCCTCCAGAGTGTCCTTGGTGTGCCCCATGAATGCCTGCCTTGCATTTTAGCCTTGTTACTCTGTTCTGAAACAGCACCTCCTAATTATTGAAGACTCATGCTTTCGGTTGTTCAGTCCTGGCACTTGTTTCTATTCACATATCTCAATGCCAAACCTCATCTGGTTTTATCCCCTTATTGTCCTTTCCTTTTTTTTTTTTATCATGTGCTTTCCTTTTAAAATTTT